GCTTCGAGGTCGCGCTCGGCAAGGAGGTCTTCGCGGCGTCGGAGCGGAAGATCGCGGCGCTCAAGGCGGCGCTCGCCGACGAGGCCTTCGCGGCCAAGGCCTTCGCGTCGCTCACGGCGCGCGAGAGCAAGGTCCTCGAGATGATCAAGGACGAGGCGACGCTCGAGGCCATGCGCACGGAGATGCTCGAGAAGCTCGTGGAAGCGGACGGCAACGCCTACGCGCAGGCCGCGCTCTGCAAGCAGCTCACGCCCGCGGTGGAGACCATGCTCGGCGCGCCGCTCGAGCAGCCCGCGTCGGCCTAGGCTCGCGTAACCGCACACAGGGACAACATTAGAGCCCGCCGAAGTAGTTCTCGTTGGACCGCGCGGGCCCGGCCTCGGACACGTCGATGCCGCAGGCGATGGGGATGCCCACGGGGAGCGCCTCGCCGCCCGTGTTCACGGAGCGGCCGTCGGTGCGCGCCTCGACGGCGACGCGCTCCGCCGCGACCCAGCGGTAGGTCCGGCGGTCGACGCGCGCCGTGATGTACTCCGACGGCAGCACGACCTCCGTCGCGTCGCCGACGCGGAACGCGCGGCCGCCGTGGCGGAGGACCGCGCCCGCAGGCACGCGCGCGACGGGCGACACGCGGTAGGGCACCTCGATGAGCTCGTCGAAGATCTCGAAGCCGTCGTCGGGCACGTGGAGCTTGACGTTCCAGTAGAAGTCGTCCGGCGGCACGTCTGTGAGGAGGCCGCGCAAACTCTCCTCCCACGCCTCGAGGTCGACGACGGCGTTCGACCCGTCGCGGGACTTGTAGGTGAAGGACCAGTCGTGGTGGAACTGCTGCTTGTTCAGCACCGTCCACTTGCCCTCGGTCCAGGCCTGCGTCCCCTCCCAGTGCGCGTTGCGGATGCACTCGGCGGCGAGCTCGCTCTCGGCCTGGCCCACCTCGAGCCCAAAGGCCTCGCAGGTGCCGGCGAGCGAGCAGCCCAGGGCCGTGCAGGAGGCCATGCGAGCACCTGTGTCGTCGTTTCGCGCCGGCGTCGGGGCAGGGAGATGGCGTCCGCGACGGCGGCGGCCGCGGCGGCGGCGACGGCGCGCTCAAACGCGGGCTGCCCGCGGGGCACGGCCGACCCGGGCGCAAGATGTTTGTCGTTGTTGAGCCAGCCCTTGATTTAGCGCTTCGCGCCGTGCTCTCGCGCTGTTGGCGCCAGCAGCCCGCGCCTCTGGTGCCGCCGGGCGTCCGCCGGGCGACCTCCCGGGGGCGACCATGGGGAAGCACGCCTACGGCCCGCCGAGCGACATGGACCCGGAGACGACGATCTGCATGCGCAAGATCTTCGAGGCCATCGAGGACGCGCGGCTGCGCGGGGAGAGCGACACGTCGTCCCTCCACTACAAGCGACATACGAAGCTCAAGGCGAAGAACGCGCTGAGCCACAGCCAGTCCGTGGACTCCATCGAGTCCTTCGGGTCCCGGCCCGAGTTCGTCGTGCGCGGGTTGGGCACGACGGCGGACGTGCCCGAGGGCCTCGACGCGATGCTGAGCCCGCCCAAGTCGAGCAAGAAGAAGAAGCGCAAGAAGCGACGGAAGCGCGGGGGCATGTCCGCCGCGTCGAGCCTCGGGAGCGCCGGCTTCTCCTCGGACCTGAGCGACGCGGAGCCCGAGTACGCGGAGGTCGAGCTCTACGCGCTCGACGACGGCGTCCGCTGCGTCGCCTACGAGCTCCTGCGCGACGGCCGGCCGACGAACATCGTGCGGGTCGTGGTCTACGACGAGAAGAACACGAGCCGCTGCAAGGACCTGACGCCCGAGTCCTACGGCACGACGGGCTACGCGCCGCTCGACGAGCTCATCGACGACGAGAAGGCCGCGCTCGCGGCCCTGCTCTGCTCCATGGTCGGCAACGGGTCCCTCGACGACCTCCCGCGGCCCTACACGCCGGGGGCCCAACTCGGGCCCGCGCCGCGGCCGAGCTCGCCCGTGACGGCCAGCATCCTCGCGGAGTTCGACGAGGACGACTAGGGGCCGGCGGCGTAACACACCCGCGCTGTTGCTCCTTCGTCCGTCGCCGCGGCCGCGGCTCGCGTGCGCGCGCGTCGCTCGATCTTCGGCGAACTTCAAGTTCGGTGGTTGTGGTGCTCTTGCCGTACGTATCCAAGCGCCACGATGGCTGACATGATCTTCGGAGCGTGAGCGTCGTCGTCGCCGAGCGTGTCGGCCGTCGTCGAGCGCGCAAGCATGAGCGCCGCGGGCTACCTGGCGGCCGTGGGCAGCGCGGCGCTCAACGGGTCCTGGCCGGCGATCATCAAGTCGCGGCGCGTCGTCGAGGCGCGGCTGCCGCCGCTGCTGCTCAACGTGTCCTTCATCTTCGGGTTCGCCGTC